ATGATCCCGTAGAAAGGGAAAGACTGATGATACAGAAAAAGAATTTCTGAAACAGTGCTCCTCAGTTGATGAAAGGGGATGGGATCAGGAACCCACATGGAAGGTTGGCCTTAGACAGGAACAAGGAAGTTAATCCATATAGCAGGAGGAAAAGGTAGACGATACAGGGGGAGAGGACAGGTGGGGGGCTTGCAGTTGTTTTTCTAATAAAAAAAAAAAAAAACCAAGACACATGGGAGAGAGTGTTTAAAAAGTTGGGATAGTCCCAGAAAAATCTAAGCTGATGGCCATCATGCCAATATTACATATTTGCCATCTGGCTAGTTAGGAGTACACCCCCCATCAGGGGAAAAAACAACTTCACATGTAATACTCACAGAAGTCACGTTTCACTTTTCCTGTCTTACATTCCTTTTCCGTAACTAAAACACAATTAAACAATTACTCACTGAAATTCCTATGCGGTGTGAGCAACAAAAGCGGGTATTTAGCCATGTCAGAGTGTAGCTGTGGCTTCAGAGCTACAAAGAAAAGGCTTCAGGGCGCCTGGGTGGCTCAGATGGTTAAGCGGCTGCCTTCGGCTCAGCTCATGATCCCAGGGTCCTGGGATCGAGTCCCGCATCGGGCTCCCTGCTCCATGGGAGCCTGCTTCTCCCTCTGCCTCTCTCTCCCTGTCTCTCATAAATAAATAAAAAAATTTAAAAAAAAAAAAAAAAAGAAAAGGCTTCAGTCCTTTCTGAGGTACAGCGCCTGCAGGACAAGGTTGCTCAAGTTTTTTTTTTTAAGATTTTATTTATTTGAGATAAAGAGCATGAGAGGGAAGAGGGTCAGAGGGAGAAGCAGACTCCCTGCTGAGCAGGGAGCCCAGTGTGGGACTCGATCCCGGGACTCCAGGATCATGACCTGAGCCGAAGGCAGTCGCTTAACCAACTGAGCCACCCAGGCGCCCCAAGGTTGCTCAAGTTTTGTTGGTCAACTGAGTAGCCCTGCCTCACTCACCTTTGGTACTAGCCCAACAAGCCGCAAATCCAGAACGCAGCTGGTAGTGAGCGAGAACCTGGTTGGGGACACAAATAATTGGGGGCCCTTAGGAGCTTCATCCCATTGTTAGAGGTTGCCAGTTTAACTGACTCAGAGTTGGGATGATTTAGAAAATCCTAAGGTCATCAATTTCAGACTTTAATCCCATCTAAAAAAAAAAAATCAATGATTGTTGGTATGATGCTGTTGGCTATATATTTTTTTCTATTTTAAGATTATTCATTTATTTAGCCATTTACATGATTTATGATTTTATGTCCAATAACAGTGGCTATATCCAGAAAAACAGACTGGCTTCATAGGTCCTTGCATTCTTGCTAAGGGAAATAACGGCTTCCTACAGTTTATAAACTTCTACTCATTATTTTATTTCTGCAAGCTACCAATTCAGGCATCTCCTGCAACAACAATCACATTCTCAAAAAAACAAAACAACCCATGAGCAGGAAATATAACCTACAAATAATATTACTGGATTAAGTTATAAAAAACTAGTAAGAGGTCTCAAAAATACCATATAAAAGTAAAACGTGTCACAATATTACATTGTTAAATAGCAGCCAAGAAAGTCGAGATCCAGGCACCCTACTGAAATTAAAATGTACACAACAAATTGTGTATATGCATTCAAAGAAATTAAAAGTTAATAGATCTAAAAGACAAAATGTACAAATTACTCAAGGTTAGAACACCACTAACTTTAGTTTGCAATCTTAAGTTAGAATGAAAATAAAAAATGACGCAAAAATAAAGACTGAATGACAACTACATATGTGAAGTGCTGAAACAGGTAGTGGTTGGTAGAACATGGGATCTACCTCCAAAGGATTTACAGTCCAAGATGAAAAAACATACTGATCATTGGGTATAAACCCACCACTTAAAGACATAGCCTATAAAAAATAAATTATCTTCATACCCAATGTAAATGAATAAAGTAAAAGCACTATAGCCAACAAGCAGTAGCACCTCTTACTTCAGAGCAAATAAAAATACAAATGTGGATTTCATGGGACAATCATAGTTAAGACATTTCAATTCATCCTTAATAGGAGCTTTCTAGCTATAAGCACTTTAAGAGTCCAAGTCTTTCCTCAAACCCCTGCCCCACAAAGACGTGTGTAATAGCTATTCCTCACACTGCCTAGATTGGCACGGTCCAACAGAAATATAATGCAAGCCACATATGTCATTTTAAGTTTCCCTAGTAGCTACTAAAAAATAATATTAATCTTAATATTTTATTTAACATATTCAAAATAGAATCAGGTCAATGTGTAATCAATATAAATTAATGATATTTTACATTCCTTTTTTCTTACTGTTTGAAATCCAGTGTGTATTTTATACTAACATCTCATTTCAAACTAGCCACATTTCAGTGGCTTGACACTCACCTGTGACTAGTGGCTACTATATTGGACAGCCCAGGTCCAGATATAGTCACTAAGTTAAAAATAGCAACATTAAAAATTGGAGTCAAAAGACCTACAGACCAAGGGGTGCCTGGCTGGCTCAGTTGGTAGAGCGTGCAACCCTTGATCTCAGGGTTGTGAGTTAAGCCCTGTGTTGGGTGTAGAGATCACTTAAAAATAAAATCTTAAAAAATAAACAAACCTGAAAACCGAGACGCTGGACTTTTTTTCCCTAATCCAGCAGTTCTGCAAGCATTTACATCCCCAAGATCTTTTTGAGGAGCCTAAGAGGTTGTTTTTTTTTGTTTGTTTGTTTGTTTGTTTTAAGATTCTATTTACTTGAAAGTGAGAAAGAGTTAGAAGCAGAGAGCACAAAGGGAGAGGGAGAGGCAGACTCTCCCGAGCAGGGAGCCGGATGTAGGGCTCCATCCCAGGACCATGAGATCATGTCCCGAGCCGCAATCAAGAGCTGGCCGCCTAACCAGCTGAGCCACCCAGGCGTCCCTTTATATCATTTTATATTTCTAACCTGATTTAATTTTGTAATGTTACCAAAGGACTTTACTGCATTTTTAAATGAATAAAAATTTTAAATTTGCTCTTCTGATTGCTAATAAGGTAAATACTGATAGCTATAACTCACACAAACAAAAGCCCATTGTAATTATCAAGAGGGTAAAGAGATCTTAAGACCAAAACACTTGAGAACTGACACCCTAATCATCACACAGCTCCTGGAAAATAGGAGGAAAAATGCAAAAAATTTCAGTCTTAACACTTTCAAACTTCTCCACGAATTTTGCAAAGTGATTCATTCTATCATTAATTCTAATTTTGTAACTGGTTCATATAAACCAAGAAATTTAATTAATCACACATAGTTCACATACCGTAACTATTACAAGGCAATCTGATAAGAACTCTAAGTTACATATAGGCCTTCAAAACACAGACCTACAGTTTAATTTAACTGCATATGGCAGCTTATTTATAACACGGAAGTTAACTAACCAATCATCCCAAGATTTTTAATTTTTTCAGAAGACATAGGTGAGGAATATTTGTCATTTTTTTCCCAAAGTTAAATTCACAAGTAGTAATCAGTCTTTTCAGCACTGTACTAATTGCATGGTGTATATATTCTTAAGGACTATAGTGCTCTCCAAGCTTTGTCAATATTCCCCAGCAGAAATTAAGATAGTAACATTCCCATTTAGGATGAAGCATACAGGAAAGGGTATTTTAACTGCAGAGGCAAAATTCAACAGCAGAAATGAGGAAAGTACTGTGAGCATATCATATGGGGCACCTGCCCTGCTTTGCCCACTGCACCAGTAAAGATGTGAATAGTGGGAGAGCAAAGAATTATTATAAAAACGCAAATTCCACTGATGTGAAAACATAATCATACCTCCAAAACCTGCAACAGCCCTCAGAATACCACCAAGTTCCCAGGAGAATAGAACAAAAAGTAAGCTGTGGAACCCAAATTAACTCAAATTCCAATTTACATTTTAAGGAAGAATGGAAACATTTCAAAAGGTATATTTGCTTATATTTTGCAAAAGACTAAAGTATACCATGAACATTGCAATTTCAAAAACTTGGCAAATAATATCCGAGATACTGTCAAATACCTAAGCTATTCCTTCGTGTTAACCAAATAACTGTAGTCAAATAACAAGTGAATTTTTAAAACTGATCCCTGATGAAATTCTGAATTTAAAAAAAAGAAAGGTAAGGAGGAATGTCTTTCGAAAACTTACTTCTCATATTAACATCTATAGGATTTACACTTGCAGCGTGAACTTTGATAACAACTTCATTTGGATAGTGTATGACAGGTATCATCATGTTCTGAGTAAATCGAAGCACGTCATTCTTCCCGTATCTATCTATCACCCAGGCGGGCATGACAGTGCTCCTTGAAGAGGTAGTACTAATCTTTCCAACTAAAAGTCTTTGTACGGCGTGGCTTCTCCAGAAGCAAACCGCAGTACATGCATTTCTTCCAAGTACACACGTCTTCAGAAATTCCATCGTAAACATCAGTTGAACTGCGTGCCCTAATTAAAATGCATTTAAATGGGATGGAACTCCAACCCCTGAATCAAACACACTGGCCGATCTGTGAATTCAAAAATGAAGTCAGCCTAACCAATGCAGCAAATGAAGGAAGAAGAATATGGAATTATTCTGCTCTTCCCATCTGAAAAGCCCCAATTAACGTTCCAGTCAATATTCTGTTCATTCTCCTCCTTCCTCACATCCCCTCCCCTTTGAAAGGCAAAAACAAAACCCCTAGAATCCAGCCCTGTCCCGGGAGCCCCCAGCAGGATAAGCTAACTCCGCTCGAGACCCAGACGCCACAGAGAATCAGAGGCTCCCCGATTCCCTCCGAGACCCTAGCCCGAGTCTCCTTACGACCCGCTCTCCTTCGTCGCAGGAGTTGCTTTGCGGCGCCAACCAATCGCGTGCAAAGATCATTTCCCCGAGCTGCAATTCGACCAATCTAAGTACTCGGTGTTGAAAGGTGCAGTGACGATCAAAGATGGCTGCGCCCATGTGATCCCGGCGCGGGTGTTGACCTCTCTTATTCCTCCTTGTCACCTGGGCCTTGCGGTGGCAGGCTGGGCACAAGGACCATGCTGGGCCGGACCCTCCGAGAAGTGAGTGGAACTGACTGCTGAGGGCCCAGGGAGGTCAGAAAGATTCGCGGATTCCGTGGACAAGGAGCCCCCGGGTCTGACCCGCATCTTGGTCAGCCTCGCCGTCTCCTTTCCTGGATCTGGGTGGGTGCTTCAGACCTTTGGGGCCTTCAGCTCTACTCCCTGTACCCATTCTGGAGTTAGGACTTCAGCAAGGGAGACTTAGGCAGCGCGGAGCTGTACGGTGGAAGTATACACCGGCTTCTCAATTAGACGTTGCTAAGGCTTGGGTCAGACCCCTGATGGATGGCCTCTCAGAGTGGGCTCCGCCAGTCCACTTTCAGTCTCCTTCTGTCCCCGACGCTCATCTGACGCAGTCCTCGCTAAGAGGCTCAGCAGACCTGTACTTTGCAAAATACAAACGAGTAATTTTTAGTTCCCCAGCCCCACCCCCGCCTGGACATATTCTCTGGACTTATCTACGACTAAGATACTAATGATTCTCTCACCGGTGTCTTCCTGTCCTAGACATCATTTTTAAACTCTAGGCTAATATTTGTAAGTTCCCTCTGGACATCTCTTCCAAATGCCCCATAACCACCTCCACTTAATTTAGCCGAAGTTGACTTCAGCATTGTAATAGGACCACTTCTTATCTTTCAATCTCCACCTTAAAAAACAAAAACCTGATTTCTGAATTCTTAATATTCTCTTTTTAATGGCACAACTCTTATCCCAGTTGCCCTTATATTCTTTCTCATCTGTCATATCCAATAAATCAGTAAGCCCTGTTAATTCATACCTCCAAATTTATGTCTGGAAGTTGTTTTCTTCACTTACTCTCTGCTGTTAAGGCTTCAGTTCATGTCTCCTCGCTTTCTGGCCCATATCTCTCAACCTTGAGAACTGTCTGCAGGCCCACTCTTATAAGAATCACATCAGGTTCTTGTTAAAACCACAGCTCTGTCCCACTTTGGTAGCTCTGTGATTTGAGGACCAGAGGATATGGTTTAACCAAAGCTCCAGGTGATTCTGCTGACAAGTAGGGGTTGAGGACCTAGCCTGCCTTCCATCTTCCTGTTGTATCTTCACCTGGGAAATCTTCCACCCCCCCACCCTCCATATGGTAGCCTTTTAGAAAGCTATAAATTATCATAACTTAAAATTGACAGGCATTTAATAATAAATAGTCCTTTCCCAAAATACATTAGTATTTTACCATCCTAATATGGTTTCTGGCCTCTACTACATATTTCTGTACAGTAAATTCCTCTACTAAAGAATCCAATTTGTTCTTAAAAAAAAAACCACCAAAAACTAGTTTTAAAATGAAATACAACCTATAAAAATACAGTATTTCCTTTCTCTGCCCTTTCCCCCTTCAGCACCCCCTCTTTTGTGCCACCTCTTTCTGGTGTTGTTGAATGAGCCCCTGTGAGGAAACAACTTTTGCCTCCAGGGGGAAATAAAACAGGAGAGCTGACCTAAGGTACACAAGAGGTTGCCTGAACAGGATTACTTTCACTTAATTACTTCTTTAACAAATATTTGTTGATGCCTACTGTGCACAAAACATTATTTGGTAGTCATTTTCCCAGCCCAAAAAATACCTTCTCTCCGCTTTATATTTTTTCTCATATCATTGTTCATCCCAAGTTCTACCAATTAGAGATTATTTTAGTGCATGTTCTTTTAAGTATATAAAGATGCCTTGCAGGGTCGAATGATTTATTCACCCATTGTTGTGAGTTACAGTAGTTTAATAAAATTTCTCTCCATCACATACTAGTTGATAGAATCAATTGAAAAAAGGGAAAATTTGCTGCGGAGGAAATTTGGTAGAAGAGCTGGAAACTAGAGTTTTGAGGCAATGCTGGGGACCTAAGTGAGGCTTAGAGTAACAGAGGGGGCCTGGAAGGAAGCACTAAAAGGAGGTAACATGCCAAATGGGAGGTAAAAGTCCTATTTCTCAAGTTTTATGCAGGTACATTCAGGAAAGAGGAGGAATCTCACTTTCACCTTCCTCTTTTGTGGTATCTTCCCAGTGTTTCTAGGAGCCACACATCAGGCTAATATTAATCCTAAAGTTATTAATTATATATTGAATAGGCTGGTTGGGGGTCTACCTAAGAACACTTAATTATTGTTCTATGGGAAAACAGTTTCCAAATTTTAAATAACTCAGGTGTTCATTCATTCAACTAACGTTTAGTGAGCACCTCTGTGTTCCAGACATGGAATTAACGTTGAAGACAATCAGAAGTTCCTGCCCTCATGAAGCCTGCATTTTTGTGGGGGAACAGGCATTAAAGAAGTTTTTTTTTTTTTTAGTAAATAATATAATCACAGGTAGTATAAGTACTATGAAGAAAGATTAAGCAGGCCACAGTGTGAGAACTAGCGGGGGGAGCCAGATGTGTTGGAGGGGTCAGGAAAGGTTTCTCTGACTATTATTAAGAGATCTAAAGGATATGAAGGGGAAGCTAGGGGAAGGCCTGGGAGAATAGTATTCCAGGCAGAGGGAACAGTAAGTGCAAAGGGTCTGAAGCAAGAGCAAGCTTGACACATTCAGGAGTTGCAAGGCGGCCAGCATGCCTAGAGAAGTGTGAATGAAGAGGAGAAGAGTGGGATATGAGGTTAGAGAGATAAACAGGAGCCAGATCATGGAAAACTTTAGGCTGTGCTGAGTGTGGATTTTATTCTAAGTGTAATGAGAAGCCTCTGGAAATTTGTGAGTATGTGGATATGATTTGATTTAAAATTTAATATATTTTTTAAAGATTTTATTTATTTATTTGCGAGAGAGAGAATGGGAGATAGAGAGCACGAGAGGGAAGAGGGTCAGAGGGAGAAGCAGACTCCCCGCCGAGCAGGGAGCCCGATGTGGGACTCGATCCCGGGACTCCGGATCATGACCTGAGCCGAAGGCAGTTGCTTAACCAACTGAGCCACCCAGGCGCCCTTGATTTAAAATTTAAAAAGCTCCTTCAGGTTATTCCTAAAGATATGGTCTGTAGGAAAGCAAGCGAGGAAGCAGGAAAATCAGTTAGAAGGCAAGAGATGATGGCAGCATAGATGCGGTGGCCATAAAGATAATGTGAAATGGGATTGTTTTTTAAGTTAGGGCTTGCTGATGGATTGGATACAGACTTTGAGGGAAAGAGAAGAATGAAGGAGGATGGTTAGATTTTTGACCTGGGGAGTTGGGAAAGTGGTAACATCAAGATGGGGAAGAGGTTTTTTCCCCCATTTTTTTTAATTGAGGTATAATTGACATAGAACATTATATTAGTTGCAGGTGTACAACATGATTTGGTATTTGTATACACTGCAAAATGATCACAATAAGTCTAGTTTTTCCTGATCACCATATAGTTACATAATGTACAATATTATTGGCTCTAATCACCATGTTGTACATTATATCCCCATGACATTTATTTTATGACTGGAAATTTGTATCTCTTGTACCTTCTCCCATTTGCCCATCCCCTAACCTCCCTCCCTACTGGCATCCACCAGTCTGTTCTCTGCATCTATGAGTTTTGTTTTGTTTTTTAGATTCCACATGTAAGTGAAATCATAACGGTATTTGTCTTTTTCTGACTTGTTCCACTTAGCATAATACTCTCAGGGTCCATCCATGTTGTCACAAATGGCAAGATTTCATTTTTTTTATGGCTAATATTCCACTGTATATATACCACATCTCCTTTATCCATGCATCCATCAATGGACAGGTTGTTTCCACATTTTGGCTACTGTGAATAATGTTGTAATGAACATAAGGGTGCATGTATCTTTTCGAATTAGTGTTTTCATTTCTTCTACTAAATACCCAGAATCGGAATTGCTGGATCATATGATAGTTCTGTTTTTAGTTTTTTGAGGACCCCCATACAGGAAGGACTCTTAGGAAGCATATTTGGAAGGAGGAAAGTTATCAAGACTTCTGTTCTGGGCATGTTAATTTGGAGATGTCTGCTGGCTATCCAGGTGAAGAAGTCAATTAAGCAGGTGGCTGTCTAGGAGTTGGGAGATCAGAAAAGCAGCTAGGTATGAGGATTGTAAAGTGGCCAGAGTATAGAAGATAATAAAAGTGTGTTGCCAGATAAGAACACCCAGGGAGCTGAGTACGAAAATAGAAGGCCTAAAACTTTCCAACATTCAGTCAGCAATAGGAAGCAGAGCCAGCAAAAGAGACGTGAAGGAATGGTCAGTAAGGCAAGAGGAACACCAGGTCTTGGTGTCCTGAAACACAAGTGAAAAAGCTTCAAGAGAGTGTTCTCTTAAGTTGAATGCTGCTGAAAAGTACTTGTAAGATGAGGACTGAGCATTGACTGCTGGATTTAGGAATGTGAGGTTGCTAGTGATCCTGATGCAATTCCTTGAAACATTGGAGACTAAAGCATGAATGGAGTGTGTTAACAGGTTCCAGTCAACTGGACACTCAGGCCCCCAGGGCTCTCCTATACCTTCAGCATTTATCAAAACAATTCTTTTTAAAAGGTGGTTCTTTTCCTAAGTGAACTTCTGATGCTCTCTGTAAAGTTAAGAGTATAGTGGTCCAGAGCATGGGGTTTGGAAACAAGAACAGGCCTTGGTTGAATCCCAGCAGCTCGGCTACTTTCTAGCTTTGTGACCCCAAGCAGGAACATTAGTTTTTTATCTGTAAAAAGAAAATAAGAATATCAGCCCCTCATAGTGGATATAAAGATTAAATGAAATAGAAAACATCGGTGGGTGGGGGATGGGTGAAATAGATGATGGGGATTAAGGAGGGCACTTGCTGTGATGAGCACCGGGTGTTGTATGGACGTGTGGAATCATTATATGGTACACCTAAAAATTAACAGAACACTGCTAACTATACTGGAATTAAAATAAAATTTTAAAAATCTTGAAAAGAAAGAAATATAAAGCATCTAGGATAATGCCTAGAACTAAGTGCTATTATTGACATTAATTTTGTTATACGGACAAATTTACTAAATTATATGTATTTACAATGATCTCTTCCCCTAGTTTCTAAGAAGAGTGTCTCCTGAGGAAGATTTCTTAATTTTTCTAAGAAGGCATATTATTTTTCTCTTGCTGCCTAACAAATTAATATAAACTTTTTGGCTTAAGATAATCCTATTATCATCTTACAGTTTCGTGGGTCAGGAGTCCAGAAATGGAGTAGCTGGGTTCTCTGCTCACAGGAGTCTCAGAAGGCTGAAATCAAGGGGTCAGCCAAGGCTGTGGTTTCATCTGAAGCTCAGGGTCCTCTTTCAACCTCATTGGTTGTTGGAAGACTCTGTTTCTTTGCAGTTGTAGGACTGAGGTCCCCATGTTTTTCTTGACCATGTGGATGGTTGAGCAAATGAGCTGAGTGGACAGGAGGTGTGGGATAACTAAAATTGGGGTTTCGGAGGTTATAGAGATACTGGTAATGATGTAGTCTGAGCTGAGTTGGTAACTGGGGCAAGGTGAAGGAAAAGTTTGCCTGAAATGAGGTCAAGAACCGAGAGGCTGGGTGTCAGTGTACGTTACTTGAAGTCTGAAGTCAACCAGAATAACAGCAGGAGCAACTGTAAAGATTAAAGGGAGCTAAGTGCAAAAATCTTCAATGAATGAAAAGGAGTGCTCGGGAGACGGTGGATTCACACCCCAAGGAGAGTGATATAAGCTCCTCTAAGGCCTGTACTTCAGCTGAGCTGGGATTTTTGAACGAAGAGGGAAGAGGGGGGCATTGAGGAATGAGGAGGATGCCTGCCTGTACATTCTCCCTGACTCTGGTCCATGGTGGGTAGAAGCTAAAGCAGTCTTCTCTTGAGAAAGCTGCAGGAAAAGCAGGGGTCTCAAGGAAAAGCCTACTTTCCATTAGAGAAAAGTCAGGGAGAATGAATTTGGTTTAAAAAAAAACTCTTACAGTTGATTTCATCTTATATTCCGCTATGCCACCTTCAGTTTTGCCCCAGGGAAGCTGCACTGTTCTATTTCACACTCCTTATGCTCAGGCCATTCGAGCTAGTTACCGTCTTTGTTTTCATTTCCCTTCTCCAATTCTCTTACTGACTTTCTCAAATCTGGATTTCCTAAGAATGGTCCTAATGAAGATCAGCACCATTTAAAATGAGTGCTCCTGGACAATCTCATTTCTTGCCCTTGTAACCACAACTGTAACTCATTTCCCTTGTATTCTTACACCAGCTGGCAAGTCAGGAATGCCTGAGGATAGTAGGCATTAGGAGACTTGAGGGGAGGCAAAGAAAGACAGGCATAATTTTCTTCATTACCAGTTTGGCCATGGCATAGCCCAGCTGCTCTGCCCCTCCCAGGGCCCCTCCCCCTGCCCTGCCCCTCCTTGGGTCCCTCCCCCAGCTGTCCCTTGGCGACTCTTTCCTCCTCTTATGCATCAGCCTGAGGGGACCTCTCCGTGGCCTGTTGCCAGTGCTTTAAGCTCCCCTAAAACTCTCAGCCCTAAGAATACCGTGCTTTGATGATTTAATCAACAGCTGAGAGCAGATGATTTGCAGATTTTCTCCTCAAATGCAAGCTCCTGTTGCTTGGTGGATGTAGGACACCTGAAGATGCAGTCAGCTCAGAGGACAGACTGAGCTTGCTCTAGCGCAGAGAGAGATAGTGAAAGAGCACGTGTTATGACCTTCCCCTTACCCTGTACTGCTGTGTGGCTTCACAGACAAATCACTAACCTCTCTGAGCTTCAGTTTCTGCATCTGTAAAATGAGGTTAATAAGATATAACTTACATGGTTGTGTTAAGGTGAAGGGAGGTAGTAATGCACGTAAAGCAATAGTATCCGGCTCTTGGTAAATACTCAATAAACATTACTCCACCCATCCACCTTCTCCCCAAGCCCCCATCTCATCCAACTCTGTTCAGATAATCTGCAAAGCTTTGGTGTCATCTTTGATTTATTGTTCATTGCTTTTATTTAATTAGTAAGTACTTACTATTACTTCCTCCAGGAAGTATTAAATAGTCATCACTTCAGGCTTCACTTACTATAAACATATAGATTCTGGTCACTTGTAATGCAGTTTATCTTAACACTTTGTTTACTAGCCTTTCTAATGCATCCAAGACAGGATTGTGGGGAAGTTTGGTTTTAGTTTGCTTTTGAACCCATATTTTATAAGCATTTCTCTCAATTTGTAGTGGCTCTTACTCGAATTCTGCAGTAAAACATAAAGATCTCACTTCGAGTCATAAGGTCCTGCAGGGCCTTGTCCAATCTGTTGCTCTCACTCTGTAGCGCCTGCGTTCCCGCCTTGCCGCACCCATGCCCACCCACGCCAAGCCTCCCCCCACCACCCCTACTCAAGGTGATGGGTGCATTACCCTCATTCACTATACTCCCAAGGTATAGAGTTCTCTTGGTTTTGAATCCAAGCTTCACTTCAACATTTTACACTTCACCACTCTATCTGCCCACTCAGTATAATACTTGTATCTTCTGCAGCCTCAGTAAAAGGTTTTTATTTTATTTTATTATGTTATGTTAATCACCATACATTACATCATTAGTTTTTGATGATTCATTGTTTGCGTATAACACGCAGTGCTCCATGCAGTACGTGCCCTCTTTAATACCCATCACCAGACTAACCTATCCCCCCCACCCCTCAGTAAAACATTTTTGAATTGTATATATTACAGGTTTCTACAGCACTGAAACAAGGCCACATTACTCCAACAGAGCTCTGTCAAAAATGTCTCTCCCTTATCAAGAAGACCAAATTTCTAAATGCTTACATTACTGTATCAGAAGAGGTGGCCTTAAAGCAAGCTGAAGAATCGGAAAAAAGATACAAGAAAGGTAAATTACTGTGAATTATACTTAATTGGCATATCCCTAGAGAAAGAATTTAATTGGATGTAGCAGTCTCCATTTGTCAAGTGAGGCTTTTTAACATAAAACATAGCCTTATTTAAAGAACTTACCATGAGGTACAATAAAAATAAGGCTAATGGGCATGTGATGCTTTCTAATGCCCAACTGTAATAATTTCTAACATCAACTTGATTTATGAAGAAGTATCTTTACCAAAAACTAATAGTTATTGTAATAACTAGTATTAATGTGTCTTTATATTCTGGATATAGCTCCTATTCTTTTGGCTTTTTAACGCAGGTCACTCACTTGGGGATTTAGATGGAATTCCCGTTGCAGTAAAAGACAACTTTAGCACGTCCAGCATTGAGACAACATGTGCATCAAACATGCTGAAAGGTAAAGTTTAGTTGACCAGAGCATTAATAGTTTTATGAAACTATTTTTTCAACTTAAAGATAAGATACTAAAGCACCAAAGTATTCTCAGACAAATTATATCTGCAAAAGAAGTACTTAGGCTGGAATATTTTTACTATTGGTTCTTTCGGAATTCAAAATTATCCCTTAGAGGTAGGCCAGCTTAATGGATGTATCCTATTTAAGATGTTTTAGAAATCCTACTTGGGGAGATTTACTAACTGACCACCACACACACACGCAGTGCCCTCTGACTCCCACTCATTGATACCACGGGACTAGGGAGGAAGGGGCTGTCATCACCCCTCTCGTGAGGGTGGTCTGAGGATTCGCTTTTATTGTCTAGCTGTTTTTTGTTTCCCAACTCCTCCATCTCTTATATCACTATATTTATCTGAGTTTATAGTGATGCTTAGTTTTATTCTTTACAGTTTAGTAGGTCAAAAGGAAACCTGTTTCTCAAGATTTCTGGATCCTAGAAGGAAAAAGACATGGCAAAATCTTGTTCAGAGTGCTACACACTAAAAGAAAGTCTATGAGAAATATGGCCCAGTTTCCTCTGATAGGTAGATTGTTGATAATTGTCATGGAGTACACACTAGATGAAATTTCAGTTGAGAATAAAGATCTATTTCTGACTGGAAATAGATAAAAAATTACTATGGGATATAGCATTTCAAGTACAATGAGCAAAATAATGATATGCTATTAGTTTCAAATGAATTGGGTACATCTCTATCATTCGGTATTGTGTAGTAGTAACTGTTAGTTTTTAGATGATAAAAATAGTGAATATACCATTGCCTTTGGAAAACGGAGCAATTAGCAGTAGAAAGATTAAAATTAACTAGTTTTTGGAAGAAAGTACTACCTGCTACTCAAATTAGGAATAATTAATACATGCCAATATGAATAGCTTAGTTGTAGTTTAAAATCTTGTTTCTTGCATGTGACTTACGTGTTCACTGTTTTCTCTCCTACAATAAAAATAATTTTTTCAGGTTATGTACCACCTTACAATGCTACAGTTGTTCAGAAGTTGTTGGATAAGGGAGCTGTCCTGATGGGAAAAACAAATTTAGATGAGTTTGCAATGGGGTAAGTAAAATTAAAATTTTCTTCTCTTGTATTTCTTTCATCTTTGTCTTTAATTTCATTAAATGTAGGTACCCAAAAGCCCTGAGGTGATTTCTTGAGGACTCTAATGCCAGTTTCTCAGTCCCTCTGTGGAATTATGTTTTACTGTTTAATGCATATATGGTCAGATCTCATTTTGGTTTTAGTCTGCGTTGCCCTGATGACTAATGATGTTAAACATCATGTGTTTATTTTGCTACCCATGTTTCTTCTTTGGTGAAGTATTTATTCAAATCTTTTGCCCTTTTTTTTTTTTAATTGGGCTGTTTGTCCTACTGAGTTCTAAGAGTTCTTTTATATATTCTGGATTCAGGTCCATTGTTAGATAGGTAATTTGCAAATAATTTCTCCAAGTCTCTGGCTTGTCTTTTTGTTCTCTGAACTTTCCTTTCAAAGAGTGAAAGTTCCTAATTTTGATGAAGTCCACTTCATCTTTTTTTTTTATGATTAATGCATTTTGTATCTTAACTAAGAAATTTTTACCTGACACACAGTCACAAAAATTTTTCTCCTAGAAGTCTTAAAGTTTTTACCTTTAGATTCATGATCCATTTGAGTTAATTTTCTTATATGTGGTGTGAATAAAGCCAAGGTTCATTTATTTGCACAGGTGTCCAATAGTTCTGGCCCTATTTGTTAAAAAAAAAAGATTATCCTTTCCTCATTAAATTACCTTGGTTCCTTTGTCAAAAATCAGTTGGAGCATATATACATATATAGATCTGTTTCTGGATTCTGTTCTGTTGATCCCTCTACTTACTTTGATATGCTATCTTGATTTTAAGATTTTATTTATTTACTTGAGAGAGCAAGAGAGAGTGAGAGAGCACGAGTGGGCTGGGGGAAGGGCAGAAGAAGAGGGAAAAGCAGGCTCCCCACTGAGGAGGGAGCCTGACGTGGGGCTCGATCCCAGGACCCCGGGCCAAAGGCAGACGCTTAACCTACTGAGCCACCCAGGTGCCCCAGTTCCTGTAGCTTTATAGTAAGCCTTGAAATTAGGTAGTGAGAGTCCATTAACAGTTTTTCTTTTTCAAAATTATTTTACATATGCTAGGTCCTTTGCATTTCCATAGAAGTTTTAGAATCAGCTTGCTGATTTCCACAAAGAAGCTTGATAAGACTTTATGATTGTGAATTTATAGATCAAGTTGGGGAGATTTGACATCTTAATATGTATCTTATGATCCATGAACACTTTATATCTATCCATTTATTTAGATTTTAATTTTTCTCAGCAGTATTTTTATGATTTTTTGCATATAAACCTTGTATGTAATTTATTTGATTTATTCCCAAGTATTTCAACTTTTTTTTTTAGATTTTATTTATTTATTTGAGAGAGAGAGAGAGCATGAGTTGGTGGGAGGGGCAGAGAAAGGGAGAAGCAGACTCCCTGCTGAGCAGGGAACCTGATGACGCAGGGTTCCATCCCCTCCATCCACCCTGAGATCATGACCTGAGCCAAAGGCAGATGCTTAACTGACTGAGCCACCCAGGCACCCCCCCAGGTATTTCAGTTTTTTAATGATAAATGGTATTTTTTGTAATGTCTAATTGTTTGTTAGTATATAGAAATATAATTGATTTTTCTATATTGACCTCGTATCCCATGACCTTGCTAAGCTCTCTTTTTAGTTCTAGTTGATCTTTGTAGATTCTTTGATATATTGTATGTAGATGATCGTGTAGCCTACAAATAGAGGCAGTTTTATTTCTTCTTATTTCTCTTTCTTATTGTGTTGGTTAGGCCTTTAGTACAACACTGAGTAGAAGTAGTAAGAGCAGATATCCTTGCCTTGTTCCTGATTTGGGAGAGAAAGCATTCAGTGTGTCACCAAAAGTGCTTTCTATTTTCCCTTTTATAATACTTGTCACATTTGTAATATTTGCTTGGTTTGTGCTCCCTGTTTCATAGAAGCAGAATCTTTGACTCTCTTATTTACAGTGGTATCTCTTGGCACTCAGCAAATAAATGTTGAATGAATTAATCCAAGAGAGTAAACTTGAACATTGGTTATTAGGACATTGCCTTGAACAGCTGATCAAAATGAACATAATCAGTGAGAGTAAGTGGACATCGTGTAATACTAGATGTGATTCCCTAAGGACACACCATCATCTATGCAGTATTCCAGCTGAAAATGTTAAACCTGAAACTAATAACAAGGAAATAAAAGATAAGTCTGAAATGAGAAACATTCTATTAAAATATGAATATCATAAAAAATGAAGAAAGGCTATGAAAATATTCCCTAAGAGGGAAGAAGAGCCTAAGGAAAAGTATAACTTAAAACTTATAGAAGAAAATGTAGGAGAAAATCTTTCTGACCTTGAGTTAGGCAAAGATTTTTTAAATGAGACACATGAAGTACAATCCATAAAATAAAAAACTGATAGATTGGACTTCACTAGAATTAACTTCTCTACTTTAAAATACACTACTAAAAAATAAAAAACAAGCCACAGCCTGGGAGAAAATCTTTGCAAAACATATATCTGAGAAAGAACTGGCATCCAGTATATATAGAACCTTACCCAACTCAAAAATAAGAAAACAGCCCGATTAAAAAAAAAAAATGGATAAAATATGTAGGCAGACATTTCATCAAAGAAGATATATAGTTGGCACTAAACACATGAAAAAAAGCTGAGCATGGTTAGTCATTCAGGAAATGCAAATTAAAACCACAAGGAGATACATACACCTGTTAGAATGGCTTAAAAATGACAGTATCAAGTGCTGACAAGGATGCAGAGCAATTGAGTATCTCATACAGTGTTGGTAGGAAATGCAAAATGGTATAGCCGTTTTGGAAAATAGTTTGCCAGTTTCTTATAAAGTTAAACATCATATGATCCAACATTCTCAGTCCTACATATTTACCCAAGAGATGAAGACTCATATTTACACAAAAGCAATGGCTAGGGTCTTTCAGTACAATATTTATTGTGGCTTTATTCATAATTACCAAAAACTGGAAATAACTCAATGTCCATTGGCTGGTAAATGATTTAAAATGTACAAAAAGAGGCTAAAGAGATGATGATAACTAAAGGCAATACCTGACTTGAGACTGTACTGGTGGGGGTAAAATGCTGTAAAGGACATTATTGGATCAGCTGACCAAACTGGATTACATACAGTGGATTAGATAAAAATATTGTATGGATGTTAAGTCTACTGAGATTGATAACCTTACTGTGACTGCATAAGGGAAGACCCTTACTGTTAGGAAATGCACACTGGATACATACTAAAATATTTAGGAGTAAAGGGCCTTGATAAACCTAATTTACCCTTACGTGGTTCAGAAACAAAAAGTATTTGTATATGTTACAGACACACATAAAGCACACAAATGGTAAAACAAATTGGGTGATTTGTTAATAATAGGTGAATCTGGGTAAAGGGTATAAAGTCCTTTTCATATTATTTTGATTTTTCCAATTTACCTGTAAGATTGAAATTATTTCAGAACTTTTAAAATAAGTTATTATTTAACTTACGCTTGTCTTAAAACATCCGGTTAATAGAGGGAATCCTTCTGAGGACTTCTTGTTAACTCTTTGAGTGTTTATGACACTCTTCAACTGCAAGACCTTGATTTACAAGGGAAATCATAAGCTGAACTGGATGATCAACTGGGGTAAAAATCCCCTTTTCTTAACAGACTAGTTTTCTCTACTTTCTCCCACATGCTCTTACTTCCCATCCTCCACCTCCTCAACCATCTAATTAATGAAGACTACATCTAAGCAGGCTTCTTGGCTTTTCCCAATTCAAGTTCCAGTGGATTATACAGTGTTAGGAGCAAATAATATAATCAGGAGGTGAAATTCTCATATAAAATGGAAGTTTTGTTAAAGATATCTTGCTTCACTTCATCTCAGATCTGGAAGCACAGATGGTGTATTTGGACCAGTTAAAAACCCCTGGAGTTATTCAAAACAATATAGAGAAAAGAGGAAGCAGAAGGCCCATGGTGAGAATGAGGATTCAAATTGGCTTATAACTGGAGGAAGCTCAGGAGGGAGTGCGGCGGCGGTAGCGGCGTTCACATGCTTTGCGTAAGGTGCTTTTTTCTGTTTGTACTGTAAAGCCCAACCAAATACAAATAGTCATAAACCATCCTCAGAATCCAACAACAGAGTAGTTCATACGTGCTATTTTTATTTCTTTTCAGTGAGTTATTTGTGCTCGATGGTATATAAAAATTGTATCTTATGAATATGCTCAACTGTACAGTATATGTAATGTGTATTTTATACATTTAACTTTAATATTTAAACTCTTCCTCTGTAGTATCTGGTTTTCTTAAAAAACATGATTTTATGGATCTTGCAGAATAAACCAGTTAGTGTAATTGAATTTCATTTTTAAAATAATTTATTTGGGTGTCTGCTGACCGATGATACAAATATTTAGGGACTAAGATACCATGGCTTTAGTTGAGTGCTGCTGAGCTACTAATTATGGTTTATCCTTCAGCTAAATCAGGCTTTTGTCTAAAAAAGGGGGGGGGGAGAAAAAATGTTCCTGATAGGTATCAGTAGGATATTTAAAATAGTGTTTTCATAAATCTGCAACTAAAAATGTGTATCAAGGAGTAAAGTTTTCTTCACGTTTTTTAGGAGTTGTTCAACTGTTCTATTTTTGTATTTGGGAAGAATCCATCCATCATGCTTTATGTTTTAAGTCCCATTTGTAAAGCATTTCTTAACCACCTAAAGAAGAGTAAATAAATACCACTGTTATTTACTTTCTCAGTTTCAGTATAAAATTGAGTGTGTTTCTTTAGTAGTACTGTATGTACTTTATTTCTCCTTAATTATCCGCTAAAACTAAGCTCTGTCACAGACATTGCAACCAAAAAATTATTTATGTTTTTTAGAGCTATGGAGATTTAGATTCTTGAGGGTTTTTTTTTGTTTTTTTTTTTTTTTAGTTTCTCTGAAATCTTATTTACAAGTAAAACCATTTCATTTCCTCTCTGTGGAATTTTATAACATTGCATTAATATTAATGAGAGTTCCAACAAGTTAGGACTGCAAGATTAGGTGCTTTTTCTCCTCTCATCATGCTACTTAATGTTCATCTTTCTGAATGTGCTCAGAGAAGATATGGCATTTTGACACATAATTCCTATGGAAATGTAGGTTTTACTTTTATACAGCCGTCAGTGAATCCTAATAAGAAAATGTGTCCTTTTAGAAATTGTGAAAGCAACAGCCTGATTTCGTAGCTTACGCGGACTTGGTAAGAAAGACAATCTAATTTGCATTTTCTGTAGAGCTCAAGGGCCATATGACTGGTAGGAGCCTTGTTCAGTCCAAAGCTTTATTCTGGGTATAGTCAAGAGAAGCACAGACCCAAAGTAACTTCAGATTGAATGGGTCCCAAATTATCAGGTGTTCTGCTTTGTCCCCCCCCCCTTTTGATTTGCTTCTTCTATAATAGTTTTAAAAACAGGAAGGTTGTTGGAGTATTATGTACCCACTAAAAGGAATAAGTGAGAGGGCTTTGTAGTGTCGGAAAGATATCAAAGATACACTGTTATGTGGAAAATAAGTTGCAGAATACTACATACAGTATGACCTTCTTCCTGTTAAAAGTAATAATTACATACGTATATATGTTAGTTGCATGGAAGTGTCTGGATGAGTATATCAAAACTGATAATGGGATTGTTAGGGAGGCAATGATTGATTATAAGAGAAATTTCACTTTATACACCATATACTTACACAATATTTTAAATTTTATAGTTGGCACATACACTTTTCTAATCAGAAAAACCTTTTTTCTCTGAAATAGTTAAAGTTTAAACAAATTTTTAATTATGGTAAAATCTACATAACCTAAAACTTACCATCTTAACCATTTTTAAGTGTACAGTTCAGTGTTAAATACATTCACATTGTTGTGCAACCAATCTCCAGAACTTGGTTCATTTGCAGAACTGAAACTTGGTACCCTTTAAACAACAGCTTCCCATTTGCCTGTCCCCCCAACCCCTGGCAATCACTCTTTTACTTTCTGTCTCTATGAACTTGAAGACTCTAGGGTACCTAGAGTGAAAATTATTATTGAGTATTTGTGCTTTTATAACTGACCTATTTCACTTAACAAAATGTCCTCAAGATTAGTTTTTGGTTTTGTTTTTAATAAGAAAAACATACTCTATAGGTAACTGAGCAAAGAAATGAGCACTTCATAGTTGGGTAATGCAAATACAAATAAATGTGAAAAATTATTCAAAAATGCACATTAACAAAGCTTTTTGGTTATTCAGATAACCAACGTTTAAGAACTGCTAGTACTCAGTGATGATAATAAAACATAAGGCCAAATGTGATTGACTGCAGTTGGAAATATAAATTGGCAGAGCCTCTCTGACAAGTCATTTGACAATACAGATTAAGAACTTAGAATAACAGGCAGACCCTATGGCTCATTAACTCTACTTCTTGGAAGCCAGCCTAAAAAATAATCAGACATATGGGCAAAGATTTATGTTTACAGGTGTTTATTACAAAGTAGTTTATTATGTAGTTATTATCCTTCTTGGCAACAACATAAATGTTTAAATAAATTAAAGTACATTTCTATCCATGATTCTAAATGAGGTAGTGGAAGGTTCTGTGTATGAATTTCTGGGAGAAGTGTGTTTAGTTTATAAAAGCATACTGTAAAACTACCATTAAAGGAAGGTATAAGGTATCTGTATGTATACTGATAGGAGAACAGGCTTTAAAATCCTGGGAATCACTAATTGATATGATGGAATACTATACATATTTTAAATTTTCAGTGATTTTAATGAGCTAGCAAAAGGCTCATGATAAGAAAAAAAGAGATGGGAACTTACAATTACAGAATGACCTGAGCCATGAAAGAAAACTGCATTTTAAAAAAGTCTTGAAGTTAATAGGCCAAAATGTTAACAGTGTTTGCCGCAGGCGGTAGAATATTTTGTTACCTCTTTACACTTTTTCTGTATTTTAGGAGTTCTCTGAGACAAGCATGTCTTACTTTTGTATAACCGGGGGAAATAAAATTTAAAAGTATACACTTAAAAATAGATTCCAGATATAATGGCAGATATGTCATTCTCCTAAAGAAAATTCCATTTAAATTCCAGGGCTTTAGGATCAGACACAGGAGGATCGACCAGAAATCCAGCTGCCCACTGTGGGGTTGTTGGTTTCAAACCAAGCTATGGCTTAGTTTCTCGTCATGGCCTCATTCCGCTGGTGAATTCAATGGATGTGCCAGGAATCTTAACCAGATGTGTGGATGATGCAGCAATTGTGTTAGGTATTTATATGGTTCCATAGAGTTTCAAAACATTGTAAGTTTCACTGTAAAACAATATGTCTGTCATTCCTGAGTATTTTTCTTTACAGGTATGCTGGCTGGGCATGACCCCAAAGATTCTACCACAATACAGGATCCTGTTAAACCATTTACACTTCCCACTTCTGCAGATGTGAACAAACTATGTATAGGAATTCCAAAGGTAACTCTTCCCTTTTATTACTTTACAGAAATACTGTCAAGTCAACCACAGAGCAACAGACTTGGGAGACAAACTGGTTGGGTTTGAACCCTGCTCTGCCACTTTTATTAGCTATGCAGCCTGAGCACATGACTTATTCTAAGCTCAATTTCCCAGTCTACAACATGGGGATAATAACAGTGTTGATCTCAGAGTAGTAAGGTTTAAATTTGGCAGTCATCGTGGGGATATAATATACAACATGGTGACTGTAGTTAATAATACCGTACTGCATATTTGAAAGTTACTAAGAGAGTAGTTCTTAAAGTTCTTATCACAAGGGGAAAAAACTGTCACTGTGTTTTGTGATGGATATTAACTTGGACTTATTGTGGTAATCATTTCTTAATATATACAAATATTGAATCATATGTTGAAACGATCATAATGTTGTATGTCAGTTATACCTCAGTAAAAAAAAATCAGTCATGTTAAGCAGGAGTCTGTAAACATTTTCTGTAAAGGGTCAGATGGTAAATATTTTAGACTTTGTGGGCCATACGGTCTTTACTGTCACTATTTAACTCCGCCACTGTTGTGTGAAAGCAGCCAGGGACCATATGTAAATGAAAGAGTGTGGCTGTGCTCTAGTAAAACTTCATTTTCAAAAATAACTGGCAAGTTATATCTGGCTGGTAGGCCATAATCTGCTAACCCCGCATGTAAACAACATAGCCCAGAGCCATACCTTGCATAGTAAAGGCTTAATACACATTACCATCTTTACTACCATTATTAGTATTACTACTACATTTATTACAGTAGCACTTGAGTAATTCATATGTGAAAGTAAATATGTTAAATTACTGACCTTTAAAAAGCTTTTTTAAAGATTTTATTTATTTGAGAGAGAGAGAGAATGAGAGAGAGAGAGCACGAGAGGGAAGAGGGTCAGAGGGAGAAGCAGACTCCCTGCTGAGCAGGGAGCCCGATGCGAGACTCGATCCCGGGACTCCAGGATCATGACCTGAGCCGAAGGCAGTCGCTTAACCAACTGAGCCACCCAGGCGCCCAAAGCTTTTTAAATTTTAAACTTAGCAGTAATTTTTCGGATAATTTTTTGTTGTGGGACACTGTCCTATGCGTTGTAAGACGTTTAGCAGCATCACTGGCCTTTTCCCTCAGAAGTAGCGCCCCCACCACAGCACAACCCCACAAACAAAAATGTCTGCAGACATTACCAAATGTCCCCTGGTTGAAAGAAAGAGATAAAATTGCCCCCATTTGAGAGAGAGATATTTTCTTTATAATTTTCAGTTAATAGCTGGGCCTTCCTTTAAGGATTTAGAGAAAGCACAGGTTGTGGGAAGAGACCAGTTTAGAATCCGAGATCCTCTACTTACCTGCTGTGTAACTTCAGGAAAGTTACTGAACTTGTCCAGTCTCAGTATTTTTCATTAATAAAATGAGGGATGATAATACCTACATCATGGGATTGTTAAAAGCATTAAGGGAGGGGGTACCTGGGTGGCTCAGTTGGTTAAGCATCTAACTCTTGATCTCAGCCCAGGTCTTGATCTTGAGTTCAAGCCCCATGTTGGGCTCCAGCGTGGAGCCCACTTGAAAAAAAAAAAAAATGTTCAGTCTGAGACTCCTTATCCAAAAGTTTCTGCAAAAGCATTAAGTGAGAGGACCTTTGAAAAGCATCTAGCAGAGTACCTGATAATGAACATTTAACAAATATGGGTTCTCTGGCCATTTCTCTCATCTTTAATATTGTTATATCCAGCTTATAAATAATTAGTACAGTGCTTGTCATGCCATCAACACTCTAAAATTAGTTCAGTTTTTCTAGTTACCTACTAGCAATTTAATCAGATTTTCTAATGTATTGCCAAAGGTCCTAAAGTACATATTTTTATAAAACCATCTATACAGATGTTCTAATTTCTGTATCTTGGCTTTTTCCAATAAGGAATATCTTGCACCAGAATTATCAAGTGAAGTGCGATCTTTTTGGTCCAAAGCTGCTAACCTCTTTGAGTCTGAGGGGGCCAAAGTAATCGAAGTGTCCCTGCCTCACACCAGTTACTCAATTGTCTGCTACCATGTATTGTGTACATCGGAAGTGGCATCAAATATGGCAAGATTTGATGGGCTAGAATATGGTAAGATGGCTGTGTTTGGGATTTGTAAGGTAGTTGTCTCCAACATTTGGAAGTTTTACTTATTCATGATAAAAAAAATTATCCCCGGAGTTAATGTTGATGATTTAGACAAGTAAACCAGCGAGTCCTCTTACCTTTGTCATTTAGCCTTCTGCATACACTGTTCATCATAAATATCTCTGTATGTTCGGCTCCCCTCTCTGAACTGTGAATATTTTACAGGAATAGGGTCTTATCTTCGTATTCTCGGTCTATCAAATGTGGTGCCTGGCACATGGTAGGAGTTCAGTAGATATTTGGATGGATGGAGGGAGGAGGGTAGGAGGGATGGATGGATGAATGGATGGAGGGATGGATGGATAGATGAGGAGGTGAACAAATGAAGTTTCCCTATTGGTTATTTTCTCCTCTCTCCTTGCTTCTTGGCAGATAAAGAAGAGGAGCCACTTAAGGACAGTCTCCCACAATTTTAGTATTGGTCAGAAATGTGAATCTACACTTGCTTTTCAGCCAGAACTTTACTTCCTTTTCAAATTTTTTGTTTTTAGGTCATAGGTGTGACATCAACGTGTCTACTGAAGCCATGTATGCTGCAACCAGGCGGGAAGGGTTTAATGATGTGGTGAGAGGAAGAATTCTCTCAGGAAATTTTTTCTTATTAAAAGAGTAAGTAGTGGGGCGCCTGGGTGGCTCAGTCGGTTAAGCGTCTGCCTTCGGCTCAGATCATGATCCCGGGGTCCTGGGATGGAGCCCTACATCGGGCTCCCTGCTCGGCGGAAGCCTGCTTCTCCCTCTCCCACTCCCCCTGCTTGTGCTCTCGCTGTCTCTCAAGTAAATAAATGCAATCTTAAAAAAATAAAAGAGTAAGTAATTAGGAATTTTCTCCATTCTTGAACACTCAAGAGTACATTAGTAGCATGTCTGCCAGGTCTTATAAGTTGAGATATTTGCTAAAGAAGCAAAATCCTTATGATTTGAATTAGAAATTATAATTAAAAGCCTATTTATAGTACTTTTAGTTTCTGGTTATTCAAATGCAAAAAAACATTCACACTCTAGCTAAATGATTAGTACAAAACTAAGTAGGAAGCCCTGAAGAATTTTAACCTCATTAAATGTCCCCTATTTTTGCCATGTTGGCTTATTGTTGTTAGAGACTTAAGCAGGAAATTACATTGGTGTATCTTGAAAAATTTAGCAAATTAACTTAGTCTTCCCCTACATTATGTATCTGTTTGCTCCAAGAAAGAATTCTAAATTACTAGGGCTCCTACTTAGATTGTCTTCAATATAAATTTATTCATCTTGCGAATAGGATTCATCTTGCATACCACCAAGTCTGTCTAAGAGGACAGGAGAAGTGTGAAAAGGCAAGAATGATTGTTGTAATGAAAAACTCCTGCAGTTTTTTTACATTCCCTCAAGGACAGAAAGCATTTTGCTCATCTGTGTATCCCTTCAGGGCAGATATTTAGGATTACTTTTTCCAAAAATATTATTTGAACAACCATGATGAAAAACAGCATGGAGGTTCCTCAAAAAATTAAAAATAGAACTACCATATATGATCCAGCAATCCTACTTCTGAGTATATATCCAAAGGAAATGAAATCATTATCTCAGAGCATTATTCACAATAGCTAAGACATGAAAACAACCTAAGTATCCAATGGTGGTTGCCTGAGTCTGTGGGCTAGGGGAAATAGGGAGATATTGGTCAAAGGGTACAAACTTGTAGTGATAAGATGAATAAGTTCTGGGGGTGCCTGGGTGGCTCAGTCAGTTAAGCATCTGCTTTCAGCTCAGGTCATGATCTCAGAGTCCTGGGATTGAGCCCCACAGAGCCTCCTTCTCCCTCTGCCCCTCACCCCACTCATGTTCTCTCTCTCCCTCTCTCAAATAAATAAATAAAATCTTAAAAAAAAAAGATTATTAAGTTCAGGGGATATAATATACAGCATAGTTACTATAATTAAGAGTACTGTGTTATATACTTGAAAATGGCTAAGAGAGTACATCTTAAATGTTCTCACTACACACACACACACAATTGTAATTATATAAGGTGACAAATGTGTTAATTAACCCTATTGTGGTAATCATCTCACAATATATACATCTATCCAATTATATTGTACACCTTAAAATTACACAATTTTATATGTCAATTGTATCTTGGTAAAGCTTGAAAACAAAAAGCCTAAAAATACTTGATTATGTTCCATAGTAAAACTCTTTTCCTGCAAACAAAACTGGTATTACCTCACACTTGTGAGAATTGCTAAAATCAAAAACACAAGAAACAACAGGTTGGTGAGGATGTGGACAAAAAGAAACCCTCCTGCACTGTTGGAATGCAAACTGGTGCAGCCACTGTGGAAAACAGTATGGAGGTTCCTCAAAAAGTTAAAAATAAGACTATCCAGGGGCACCTGGGTGGCTCAGTCAGTTAAGCGTCTGCCTTCAGCTCAGGTCATGATCCCAGGGTCCTGGGATCGAGCCCCGCATCGGGCTCACTGCTCCACGGGAAGCCTGCTTCTCCCTCTCCCACTCCCCCTGCTTGTGTTCCCTCTCTCGCTGTGTCTCTCTCTGTCAAATAAATAAAATCTTAAAAAAAAAAATAGGATTATCCAGCAGTCACACTACTGGGTATTTACCCAAAGAATACAAAAACACTAATTCAAAAGGATACATGCATCCCTATATTTGTAGCAGCGTTATTTACAGTCGCCAAGATATGGAAGCAGCTCAAGGGTCCATCAGTTGATGAATGGATAAGGAAGATGTGGTGTATATATACACAATGGAATATTATTCAGCCATAAAAAAGAATGAAATCCTGCCATTTGCAATGACATGAATGGAGCTAGAGAGTATTATGCTGTGTGAAAGAAGTCAGTCAGAGAAAGACAAATACCATATGATTTCACTTGTGGAATTTAAGAAACAAATGAGCAAGGGGTGGGGCAGGGGGAGAGAGAGGCAAACCAAGAAACAGCCTCTTAACTATAGAGAACAAACTGATAGTTACCAGAGGGGAGGTAGTTGGAGGGATGGGTTAAATAGGTGATGAGGACTAAGGAGTGCACTTATGATGAGCACCTGAGCACCAGGTGATGTATGGAATTGTTGAATCACTATATTGTACACTGTATGGTAATTAACTGGAATTAAAATAAAAACTTTAAAAAAATAAAACTCTTCTATTTTGACCAGATGATTGTAATGATTTTCAAGTAGGAAAAGAAAATGGAATGTTGCTGAGAGGTTTTCTAAGCAAAGACTTTCATTAAGTGGAAAATGTTGCATTTGCCTAATATAACTGATCAGAATCAAATTGTGTATCTCAGGACACAAGTTGATAGATTATCTAGGTCACTGTAACAGCATATAAAGAAACTGAAGGAGAGGGGTCCGAAAGCTTCTCTATGGTCACCGGTTGAGGGTATTGACAAAAGGAAGTGAGAATTTCTGCTGGCCTCCCTATCTCTGAGTCAGGGAACTTAAGTCAGCTTTTTTGTTTTGAGGGGTTTTGTTTGCTTGTTCATTTGTTTTGTGAAGGGAGGACAGACATGAGTGATAGGAAAAATGGAATTTGGGTATACTTTTTTTTTTTTTTTAGTCTTAAGTCAATTTATGTGCCAGGAACTATAACAACTCCTAACATTTTTTTTCTTCATGTGGTACCTCAGTTTACAATTTTGTCATTCTTCTACTACCTTTTGTTCAAAAAACAAATTAATTGAATTAGGAATCCACAGTTTATTTTTAATGAACATAATTATTTTCATTTGAGCCACATTTAAATCTGATTTTTACTGTTTGTCTTCAATTTGTCCTATCTGTTCTTTCTTTTAACCTCTTTTCGTGCCGCCTTTTATTTTTTCTTTAAATAATAACTTTTCTCTTAAAGAGATTTAAAACAAGAAAAAAAGTCATTTATATTTGTCCAGATATTTGCTATTTCTGGTGCTTTTTATTCCTTTGGATAGATCCAAATATCCATCTGGTATAATTTTCTTTCTCCCTAAAAAACTTTAATATTTCTTGTAGTACAATCCTGCTGGCAATGAATTCTTTCAGCTTTTGTTTATATGTAAAAGTCTTTATTTTACCTTTAATTTTGATATTTTCTCTGGGCATCAAATTCTAGATTGATGGTTTTTCTTTCAATGCCTTAAAGATCTTGTTCTGTTGCCTCCTGACTTGCATAGTTTCTGAGAAGTCTATTGTCATTCTTGTCTTTGTTCCTCTGTGTATAACATGTCTTCCCCCCCCCCCGCCCCCAGCTGATTTTAAGACTTTATCATTGGTTTTCAGGAATTTGACTGTGATGTGTCTTGGTGTGGTTTTCTGCATATTTCTTCTTGCTTAGGGGTTTGTTGAGCTTCTTGGATCTGTGGGTTTATCATTTTAATCATATTGCCTAAAGTAGAGTTAAATTAGCCTAGATGAAAGGCCATTTTAGACTCATCCTTGCAAAGCTTTTTAAGAAGGAAGCCTTGTAAGGATCCAACAGATTCTAAGTAACTTAACTGCATCTCAGAACAAAGCCCAGTACCGTTTAAAGGAATGCAACAAAAATGCAGCAAATGACAATGTAAAAGTTGCCATGCCCATTTTAATCAAATTTGGAAAAGTTTTGGCCACTGTTTCTTTAAAATATTTTTTCTGACCTCCCACTTCTGGGACTCCATTCATACGTACGTTAATCTGCTTGATGTTGTCCCACAGCGCACTGATGGCTCCATCCTGGTGTTTGTTTTTTGTTTTTGTTTTGTTTTTCCTTTTTTAGTCTTTTTCTCTGTGCTTCCTTTTGGATAGTTTCTATTACTATCTTCAGAATCACTGATCTGCTGTATCACCTGCTGTCAGTCGCATCCAATGTCATTTTTATTTCCTATTTTGTATTTTTCATTCCTAGAACTTCCAAGTAGGTCTTCTTATCTCTTCAATTTCTTCATGATACCATGTTTTCTTCTACTTTCTTGAACACATGGAACATATTTACAGGAGTAAATACATGTTTTAATGTTCTTATCTGCTAATTCCCACATTTCTGTTGTTTCTGGATCTCTTTATATTGATTGCTTTTTACCCCCTAGTTATGGGTTATATTTTCTGCTTTTTTGCATGGCTGGGCGTGGCAACTTTTACATTGTCGTTAGCTGCATTTTTGTTGTATTCCTTTAAATGGTGCTGGGCTTTATTCTGGGATGCAGTTAAGTTACTTAGAATCTGTTGGATCCTTTCGAGGCTTCCTTTTTATTTTATTTTTTTAGGATTTTATTTATTTGACAGAGAGAGAGAGCACGCAAGCAGAAGGAGAAGCAGGCTCCCCGCTGAGCAAGGAGCCCCATGTGGGGCTTGATCCCAACTGAACCACCCAGGCGCCCCCCAAGGCTTCCTTTTTAAAAAGCTTTGCAAGGATGAGTCTAAAATGGCCATTTGTCTAGGCTAATTTAACTCTACTTTAGGCAATACCCTTGAGGAATTCTGCCGGATGCCTCATGTGTTATGAAGACTTTCCCGCTTTGGCCGTTAGGAACACACACTATTTCTAGCCCTGTATCAGCTCTTGCAGTTGTTTGACTTTTCAGTGATCCTTTCCCCAGCCTTGAGAATGTCCTCTCCCTACGTGCACACGTCAGTACTCAGCCAAAGACTTGAGGGATCACTCTGCAGATCTCTTGAGCTCTCTCTGTGTGCTATTTTCTCCTCTCTGGTACTCAGCAAGCAAATTCCACGTGTCTTTGCCTCCCTGCACTTCCAGTCCCCGTCTCTAACTTCCTGAAAACTCTGTTTAGGTTCCTCCTGTCTGGGCTGAGGCCTGGAAACTGCCTCCAGGCATTACGCTGGGGAAATTAAAGGGCTCACTTATTTCCTTCCCTTCTCTCAGAACTCTCTCTCTCTTGAATGCCTGTTGTAATAGCTGAAAATGGTTGCTTTATTTTGCCTAGCTTTCTGGGCAAAATAAAGCAGGGAAAATTACTATGGGTAAATACTAGGGTATGTTACTATTTACTATAGTAGGGTAAATTCCATCCTTCTATCATTAATGGAAGCAAAAGTTGTGTTTTTGAACCATATTTAAAGTAGGAAGAAATTTAATAGAAAACAAATTTTTGCTTGTGTTTGAATAAAATTGAGGTTTGGGAAATGCTGTTAATGGCATTATTTAAGCCATCAAGTGTTATTGTTGTATAAATTATAGGTGATACCTGCATTTCTCTCTCTGTCGACCCTGTGGTCAAATGATAGTAAAGATATTTAATATTTCTATAGGATTCTTTTAGAGTAAAAAAAAAAGCACATTTTTATCTTTATTATATTTGGTCCTCAGTAAGACTGGAGTAGTTACATCCATTTTTACAGGTGAGGAAACTGAAGTTTAAAACAGTACTTTTGCCAGCCTTTGTATCCACTTCAGGAGGATCTAAAGAGTGCCTTTTTCCCTTTCTTTGCATCATTGACTTGGAATCACTTTTGTAAGTGGCTAATTCCTTAATCTCTTCAGAAAAGTAAGCCTCTTTCCTTGAATTTCACATTTCCATTCTTGGGGTATGCCTATCCATAAAATATAAAATTGCAAACACTGTATACTTTCTCCAGTTTCTGTTTCCAGAGCCTGTTTCCTAGTGTCTAATTATGATGGCGTATTAGAATTTTGCAAAACTTCAGAATCCTTATAATAATGAGTTATCATTATATTACAGATGAAGTAAGACATTATAATAGAAGAAGGATTAGAATAAGCCTCCAAAGACCTAAGTTCTAGTCTTCCCTTTACCACTGCCCGTCTTTGTAACCTTTGCAAAGTCATTTAATTACTATGCACTTGATTTTTTTTCACCTGAAAATAAATGTTCTGGTTTAATGATACCCCTGGATGTGGATGATACCCACTTATTTAATGATATCACTATTTTGTGATTACATGTGTAGAATTGTATCTAGCAGGGAATTTTAATTAAACTCCTGATACACAAATTTTTAGAAATAACAGCACAGTTGAACAAAAATCATTTATATGTGTTGTTAGGAATCTTAGTGCTGCCTGCTTATAAAGGTCAAGAATCCAGTCATTCTTTCACAAGCTTTGCGTGTGAAAATTGATTCAAAAAAATTAAAAAATCCTTAAAATATCATCTGTTTTTCCACAGAAACTATGAGAATTATTTCATTAAGGCACAGAAAGTGAGACGACTCATTGCTAATGATTTTGTGAATGTTTTTAACTCCGGAGTGGATGTCTTGCTGACTCCCACCACCTTGAGTGAGGCGGTACCATACCTGGAGTTCATTAAAGAAGACAACAGGACACGAAGCGCCCAGGATGATATTTTTACACAGGCTGTAAATATGGCAGGTGAGGATCCCTTGGGAATGTTCTGAATTTCTTCAAATTTTTAGATAGGCACCCTGGTCTTCAACTTAGGTTCTAGCTAGATTGTTCCCTGAAGGCAACAGCTTGTCCTTCTGGAATGTTAGGAATGTGTGTACGTGTGTGCGTGTGGTATGTGCACATGCTTAGGCATGCGTGCACTTGCAGTCACCATGCACATGCATACTCAGAGTCATTCTACTAATAACGTAATTTTAACTTTTATTTTGGAAATTTTCAAACCTACCGAAAAGTTGAAAGAATGGTATAATGAATACCGATACACGTTTGCCTGGATTCATTCATTATGCCTAATCTGCTTTCTCCTTTCTCTCTCTCTGTATACACACACACACACGCACACTTTTTTTTAGCTGAATAATTTGAAAGTTTCAACATCATGATACTTCACCCCTAAATACTTTAGCATAAATCTTCTAAAAATGGTGACATTCTCCCACATAACCACAATTCTGTTATCACACCTAGGAAAACTAACAAATATAATAATATTCCAAATATAGTCCATACTTAAATTTTCTCAATTTTACCAAAAATGTCTTTTATAAAATTGTTTTTCCCCATAGATATATTACATTTGTTTATGATCTTTTTAAAATTTAGAACAATATCTCAGTTTTCTGCTTTGGGTTCTTGGTTTTTGTTTTTTTGTTTTTTTTGGAACATATCAGACTTTTATAATTTGTTTCAATCATCAAACAAAATGTAGAAAACTCAAGAGGTAAAGGAAAGCTTGTTGTATTTCCCCGTACTTTTGTTTACTGTGTTCATTTCTTCCTGGTATATGAAGATTCTTTGTTTTATCATATCCTTTCTGTTTAAATTCCTTTAGCAATTCTTTTAGGGTAGGTCAGCTGTTAACCAATTCTTTTAACTTTCTAAGAATGCTTGATTTCCTTTCATGTTTAAAGGTTATGTTCACTGGATACAAGATTTGTGCTTGACGTTTCTTTTCTCTAGCACTTAAAAAATGTTATGCCACTTTCTTCTGGCCTGCATAGTTTCTGATTAGAAATCCCCCACCTTTTAAAATTTTTGTTTTAATTGACATTGACTTTTTTGAAGAGCCTAGTGCACTTGCCCTATAGGATGTCCCATCCATAATCTGGATTTCTTAGATTGCTTCCTTATGACTGGGTTGGGTCAAACATTTTGGCAGAAATACTACATGGTCTTCACGTCAGGAAACAGTTAATGTCAGTTTGTTCCACTTTCAGAGACTAAGTTGATTCCTTAGCTAAGGAAGTAAGTGCCCGGTGTTTTCCGTGTAAAAGTATATTTTTCCTTTTATCAATTATAACCAATTGGTGAGGTGAGACTTTGAGATTGTGTGAATATCCTGTTCCCCAAAAATCTTGAACCCAGTTTATGTCTATTGATGATCCTTGCCTGAATTATTTCCTGGAGAATTACAAAATGCTGATTTTTCTGTCATTCTTTCTACATATATTAGCTAGCAGTCTTCTTTAAAGACAGCTTTGCTTTTTTAAAAACTCAGTGTATTATAAACAATTACTGTCATTATTGGTTTTGATGCTCAAATTGGCCAACAAGAGCCCTTTCAAGTTACATGTAACCTTTAGACCTATCCCCATTAATTTCTAAAAACTTACTTACTTTATGGCATAACAAGATATCCCAGGATCTTGTGCTTTCTTTGCCCCAAACCTGGAATTAAAACTGAGTTACTATTTCTTATCTATCAAATTGGCAAACATTCAAAAGCTCAGCAATATATTCAGATGGTAATGCTGTAGTGAAAAAGCATTTTGCTGATGGGAGTTCAAAATAGTACAACTTTTTTTGGAGAGGAATTTGGCAAATATCTAGTTACATATGCATTTATCTTTTGATGAAGCAATCTGTATTCATCTGAGAGACTTTCAAAAATACCAAAAAACATGGGGCACCTGGGTGGCTCAGTCAGTTAAGCATCCGACTCCTGATTTTGGCTCAGGTCATGATCTCGGGTGGTGTGATCGAGCCCTGCATCATTGGGCTCCACGCTCAGTGGGGAGTCTGCTTGAGATTTTCTCCCTCTTCCCCTCCCCCTGCTCTCTCTCTCTCTCAAATAAATAAATAAATCTTAAAAAAAAAAAAGAATACCAAAAAACATGTACACAAGGTAATTCACCCAAGCATGGTGTGAAATAGCTCAATACTAAAAACTACCTAAATGCCCAACACCCAACCATAGAAGAATGAGTGAACAAATTATGGTACAAACCACATAATGGAGTGCTGTGCAGCTATAAAAAAGGAATGAAGAAAGTCTCTGTGAGTTGATACACAGTGATTTCCAAGATATATTGTTAAGTGAGCAAAGGAAGGTACAAAAGCATGCTTATCGTATGTTTTTTGTCATTTTTTAAACCTTATCTGTCTTGTACCTACTAGCACTGGAAAGCAGACTAAGTCTCCCCTTCTTAGAATGGAAAATTAATCAGCTAATAGGGTTTCTTTCTTGTCTTCAGGATTGCCAGCAGTGAGTGTCCCTGTAGCCCTCTCAAACCAAGGTTTGCCAATAGGACTTCAGTTTATTGGACGTGCATTTTGTGACCAGCAGCTTCTTAAAATTGCCAAGTGGTTTGAAAAACAAGTACAGTTTCCTGTTATTCAACTTCAAGAACTAATGGATGATTGTTCATCAGACTTTGAAATTGAAAAGTTATCTTCTGTTTCTCTGAAACAGTAGTGATAAATATAGCATGCAAATTAAAATAACTTGAAGATTTTATATTCAAGAGAAGTTGGATGATCTTGCTAAAGGCCTGTAATTTGGTTCAGTGTCAACACAATCATTCCTTAGAATCACTTTTTAAAAACTCCTGTGATACAGGTAATTATACGTCATCTGTCAGCATTTATGAAGTATCCACTAAGTATAGAGTACAGGATTTTTATATTAACACAGACACGTGTTCCTGGAAAATGATGCATTCTGCAAAAATGTTCATTAATAAGACCTTAGAGTAAAGGTAAACTTAGGGATAAGCCTCTCAGAAGTTGTACATCTTTGTAACCAAAGTGCTAATAAAAGCTATAATTTGTACCTCCAGAGAGAACCTCAACAGCCACGCAGATAGGCAATTCACACGTACTGGAGGCTGCCTCGGGGGATGTTAAAAATGCACAAAAACAATAAAATGGGAATATTTGCTTCTGAGTGCTGAACAAAGGAGGTAGAAAAGGAGCTCTGAGCACTGGAGGAAGTGCAACCTGTTGGGCCCCAGAGTCATTCAAGACTGGGGGTATGCCTCTCTGGGGAAGAGCCCAGGTGCAGACGCTCTTGATTTCTCTAAAAATAGAGCTGCAATGACTGAAAACTTTCTCCTGTTTTGCTAAAGGTGAAAATTTGACTTCTGCCATCCCAGAACCCCATGCAAAGGAACCAGAACAACTCCATGTGACTTCATTTTCCTATTTACCAATGACAAATGAACTCGCTGGTATCATAGAAACATTTGTTGTAACCTAAGAGACCATATTGGACTTGAAACTTGGGAGGCAGTGGAGCATGATTTTAGTGAGAAAGTTTCAAGATACAAGTATATTCAAATGAAAAACTGGTAGGTAATTTGGTGAGGATGCCAAAGATAGGAGGCCCATAGCCTCCTCCCTTACCCCAGATTCTCTATTCCTTATGGTTTCCTTACCCCCTTAGCTTTCTTTACAAGTGCTCTCTGTTTGTGTCCCTTGAGCCCAAAGAGACATTAATACGAATCTGTATTCAATTTGAAAGAAAATTTTACGAAAATCATAGATTTACCTAACACTCTAAAGTTTCATCATTGGATTTGTCTTTGCCAGAATACCATTGTCATCTCGTGTTGATCAGGTTCTAATTTGGCACTTACATGTTACTGATAAGAATATGGAAGCTGAATTATTATTTAATACATTCACTTTGTTTAGTAAGGAAACAGTCTTTTCTAAATATGAAGTACCTGAGGGAAAAAAATCTAAGTGGCAGAACCTTCTGCAGAGCCACTGGAATGTTGCATGGTAGGAAGTTAGCCTGCCTGTTACTTTCTCATTAATAGTTTTCTCTCCTCCCAGGATCCTTCCACTCCCAAATGGTCTGACAAGCTTTATATAAAATCTTTCTCTGCCAGGCCCACTAGTTTTCTTATAAATCATGACTCTGAATCTGTGCATGAGGAAGAAATTCACAAGAGAGAATTGCATTTTTTTTTATGACAAGGGAAAACCATCTTCATTGAAGGAGCTAATATGATGTAAAAAGCAAAGAATAAATCTTTGCCCCAGTCTTTTTTTAATGTGTGTATAATTTGAAGTGAATTTTTTCCAAAGGATATTTGTCATTTCTCTTATTCCTGTATCTCTGCTTGAGCTGCACTGATGATTTGAATCTGGAAATAGGGAAGTGAAACATTGACTGTTCTCGCATAATACCCAACTAGCATGAAATAATACCTAATTTGTTTCTCTTTCTTCTCCGTCTTTACCCTAAGTCTAGTAGATCTAATTTTACCAAATCATTGTCTGGGAATTTAAGTGGGAAATGGTTTCTGTACCTCTGCTAATTAAGTCCTGAAACTGTTAGCAATTCTGAAAGGCGAAGGTGGGTGAAAGTGTAACATGAGTTCCCTGATAAGACACAGCAAAACAAAAAGAAGTTAGATTCAACCACAAAAGCATCAGTAGAGTGAAAGAATGTGATGAGATCACAAAACCTGGCACCCCAACACCACCTAGAGCCCAGGGAGCATGTGGGAAAGTCAGTGTTCCGTGTTGGCCCCCAGCATTACCAAGAAAATCGATTGAAACCAGGGAGGCAGAATGTTCTCTTCGGCTCTTTGCTACCAGGTCACCAGGAACACAGAGGACCTTGAGCTGGCTAGAAAAGAGCCTGGTACCAAAAAGGAGCTTCTAAAAATGACAAGGAACAGTGACTCCTATTAGGAAATCACCTCTACCTTCTAACGTAGACAAGAAATACCTTTGGGATTTTATTTTTTATGTATTTATTTTTAAAGATTTTATCCATTTATTTGAGAGAGAGAGAATGAGCAAGAAAGAGCCAGCATGAGCGGTGGGGAGGCACAGAGGGAAAAAAAGCAGACTCCCCACTGAGCAGGAAGCCCAACAGCTTGATCCCAGGACCCCAGGATCACAACCTGAGCCGAAGGCAGACACCCAACCAACTGAGCCACCCAGGTGGCTCCCTTTAGGATTTTAGACTGAAGGACTGTGAAGAGAACCATTACCGGGCACCAGCAGGTAGAGCTCAGGGATGCTGCAAACTGTGTCATACCCTGCTCCAGTCAAGGAAATGGAACAAGCTAATGGAATTTTCACAATAGCTTCTATTGAGAGAAGATCAACAGTTAAGATCAAGTAGTTAATGAAAATTCATTAACTACTTTTGATCTCCCTTTCCTCAAGCATCTGATTATCTATACCAAGGTTAAATGTTCATTGACTGTGCAAGCCTGGGGTAAGATGTGTTCTAGAAGCACCAGAGGACAGTTTAGAGTAGAAGGTCTTGCTCAGTTATTTCGTGACTTAAGCAGTGTGTACACTAGAACATAAACCTGAAGTTTTAATAAAGGCAAATAATATGAGAAAAACCCAGCCAACATTAAATAAAATTATTAGAGGATTTCAGAGGGTTTTTTTTTTCATTTCTTTTTCTTTACACCTCAATGGAATATAAATCCAGAAGGATTTTAGGCAATTTATTAAAAACATATTATTATGATGGTATAAAAGTACATAGTTGAGGAAATCAGTAAAGTGATAAAAGTAACAAGAGAGGACAAAACCAGGAATAAAGTTTTAAAATAAAAAGGCTTCTCAAGGTATTTATGTAGATACTTAAACCTGTGTAGTATGACACAGTGGGAAATTTTCCAGTAGCTTACCTAGTGAGTAAGGCCACCAGATTTAAAAATCAAATAAACTTGGGTTTGAGCCCTATTTTTGCCATTTACAAGCTGTGTAACCTGTCCGAGCTTCAGTATCCTGACTGAATAAAGAGATAATATTTACTCCAAGGGATGGTTGGGAGGATTAAATTTAAATGATGTGCTGAAAGCACCTAGCATGATGCCTGCTAGACCAAGCACTTAATAATTTGTAGCTGTAAGTAAATGCATACAATTATAAACTTAAGTCATTTTCCTATACAGTTGACCCTTGAACAACACAGGTTTGAACTGCATGGGTTCACTTACATGTGAATTTTTTTATAAGTACAGTACCGTAAATGTATTTTCTCTTCCTTATGGTTTTCTTAATAAAATTTTCTCTAGCTTACTTTATTGTTAAGAATACAGCATATAATGCATATAACTGCCCAATGCTCTGGCTTCCCCTGAGGATAAGGTTTAAAATATCAGAAAGAACTGATGGCCTGCCTATTTCTAAAGCAATTTCCATGAGCTTTTTTTTTTTATAAAGAATTGGATAATACAGCATTCAAAGACCTGAAGGTCTTCCAAAGGCCAATCAAATGAAGAGCAAGACCAACATGCTCTCTTAAGAATGAAGCCTCCCAACTTCCCTAATTTGGGGAAGGAAACAGGCATCAAAGTCCAGGAGGCACAGACAACCCCCCTCAAAATCAATAAAAATAGGTCAACACCCCAACATCTAATAGTAAAACTTACAAGTCTCAGAAACAAAGACAAAATCCTGAAAGCAGCTCGGGACAAGAGGTCTAACCTACAACAGTAGAAACATTAGATTGGCAGCAGACATATCCACAGAGACCTGGCAGGCCAGAAAGGACTGGCATGATATATTCAGGGCACTAAACGAGAAAAATAATGATACCCAGGTAGGCTGCCATTGAAAATAGAAGGAGAGATAAAAAGCTTCCAGGACAAACAAAAACTAAAAGAATTTGAAAAACACCAAACAAGCCCTATAAGAAATATTGAAAGGGGTCCTCTAAGCAAAGAGAGAGCCTAAAAGTAACATAGACCTGAAAGGAACAGAGACAATATACAGTAACAGTCACCTGACAGGCAATACAATGGTACTAAATTCTTCAATAGTTACCCTGAATGTAAATGGGCTAAATTCCCCAATCATAAGACACAGGGTATCAGATTGGTTAAAAAAAAAAAAAAAACAGGACCCACTGATATGCTGTCTGCAAGAGACTCATTTTAGACCCAAAGACACCTCCAGATTTAAAGTTGGGTGTGGGGGGGGTAGAAAACCATTTACCATGCTAATGGACACCAAAAGAAAGCTGGGGTGGCAATCCTTATATCAGACAAATTAGATTTTAAGCCAAAGACTATAATAAGAGATGAGGAAGGACACTACATCATACTTAAAGGGTCTATCCAACAAGAAGATCTAACAATTGTAAATATTTATGACCCTAACATGGGAGCAGCCAAATATATAAGCCAATTAATAACAAAATCAAAGTAACACATCGACAATAATACAAAAATAGTAGGGGATTTTAATACCCCCCTCACTGAACTGGACAGATCATCTAAGCAAAAGATTAACAAGGAAATAAAGGCTTTAAATGACACACTGGACCAGATGGACTTAACAGATATATTCAGAACATTCCATCCCAAAGCAACAGAATACACATTCTTCTCTGGTGCACATGGAACATTCTCCAGAATAGATCACATCCTAGGTCACAAATCAGGTCTCAACTGGTACCAAAAGATTGGGATCATTTTCTGCATATTTTCGGAACACAATGCTTTGAAACTTGAACTCAATCACAAGAGGAAAGTTGGAAAGAACTCAAAAACATGGGGGCTAAAGAGCATCCTACTAAAGAATGAATGGGTCAACCGGGAAATTAAAGAAGAACTAAAAAAATACATGGAAACAAATGAAAATGAAAACACAACTGTTCAAAATATTTGGGATGCAGCAAAGACGGTCCTAAGAGGATAGTATATAGCAATACAAGTCTTTCTCAAGAAACAAGAAAGGTCTCAAATACACAACCTAACCCTACACCTAAAGGAGCTGGAGAAAGAACAGCAAATAAAGCCTAAACCCAGCATGAGAAGAGAAATAATAACGATCAGAGCAGAGATCAATGAAATAGAAACCAAAAGAACAGTAGAACAGATCAACGAAATGGAGCTGGTTCTTTGAAAGAATTAAGATTGATAAACCCCTGGCCAGACGTATCAAAAAGAAAAGAGAAAGGACCCAAATAAATAAAATCATGAATGAAAGAGGAGAGATCACAACCAACACTAAAGAAATAACAAACAATTATAAGAACATATTATGAGCATCTATATGCCAGCAAATTAGACAACCTGGAAGAAATGGATGCATTCCTAGAGAAGTATAAACTACCAAAACTGAACCAGGAAGAAATAGAAAACCTGAACAGACCCATAACCACTAAGGAAATTGAAGCAGTCATCAAAAATCTCCCAACAAACAAGAGCCCAGGGCCAGACGGTTTCCCAGGGGAATTCTACCAAACATTTAAAGAAGAATTAATACCTATTCTTCTGAAACTGTTCCCAAAAAATAGAAATGGAAGGAAAACTTCCAAACTCATTTTATGAGGCCAGCATTACCTTGATCCCCAAACCAGACAAAGACCCCATCAAAAAGGAGAATTACAGACCAACATCCCTGATGAACATGGATGCAAAAATTCTCACCGAAATACTAGCCAATAGGATCCAACAGTACATTAAAAGGATTATTCACCATGACAAAGTGGGATTTATTCCTGGGCTACAAAGTTGGTTCAACATGCACAAATCAATCAATGTGATACAATACATTTATAAAAGAAGAACAAGAACCATATGATCCTCTAGATGCAGAAAAAGCATTTGACAAAGTACAGCATCCTTTCTTGATCAAAACTCTTCAGAGTGTAGGGATAGAGGGTACATACCTCAATATCATAAAAGCCATCTATAAAAAACCCACAGCGAATATCATACTCAATGGGGAAAAACCGAGAGCTTTCCCCCTAAGGTCAGGAACATGGCAGGGATGTCCATCACCACTGCTATTCAACATAGTATTAGAAGTCCTAGCCACAGCAATCAGACAACAAAAAGAAGTAAAAGGCATATGAATCGGCAAAGAAGAAGTCAAACTCTCACTCTTTGCAGATAATATGATACTTTATGTGGAAAACCCAAAAGACTCCACCATAAAACTGCTAGAACTCATACAGGAAGTCAATAAAGTGGCAGGATATAAAATCAATGCACAGAAGTCAGTTGCATTTCTATACATCAACAACAAGACAGAAGAAAGAGAAATTAAGGAGTCGATCCCATTTACA